ATACTTTCAGCAATAAAGAACTATTCAAAAAATAAAAGTAATGTATATTTTAATTTCCATTGTAAGATTAATTGGATTTGAGGGAAGCAACTTTATTTGGGGGGAAGAGTAGAGTTATTAGAATTTTATCAATTTCCTCATAAAAAAAAGGCAATGAAAAAATATCTGGTGGCGGAGGGGGGAGGATTAACAAAAGACAAAAACAAATGCAAGAGCAATTATAAACAACCCAATTGCTCAATGCTAGGGGAAGAGTTAAATGAACACATCTTTGGCATATTTATGTTAGTCAATATTATGCAGCAGCTTTTCAAATCTTGTTTTCAAAGAATGTTTAGTGACATGGGATGTAGAATAGAGTTTGCTTCAGCGTGTGGGCTGAGAAGGCAGGCCACCTGGCTTTCAACCCTGACTAGGTCATTCAGGAGTTGTGTGACTTGCACCAAATTACTTAATTCCCTGATTCTCAAGTTCCTCCTGTACAATGAGGGTGATAAGACCTCAGAGGGGTCCTGTGATACTTAAAGAAGATAAACCACCAAGTGGATTTAGCACCGTCCCTTAGACAGCAAGTCCTTGAACCACGTAGTTTCGCTCCGTGTTGTTTCCTTATAACACTGATGAGGAAATAAAATCGATGCCTGGTGGGGCTGCTATCTGTGAGGAGTTTGCACGGTCTCCCCACATCTGGCCGGGTTTTCTCCAGGGACTCTGGTTCCTCCCACCTCCCAAAGAGGAGGTGAATTGAGGATCTACCTCGGTCCCAGTCTGAGTGAGTGTGGCAATGGGTGTGATGGAAGGGTGTCCTGTCCAGGAAGGTGTCCCGTCCTCCTGGGCCAGGGCTGCTGGGGTGGACGCCGACCACCTGTGACTCTGAACTAGAATAAGTGGGTTGGAAAATAATTACCTTATTTGTTTTTCTTCTTCTTCTTTTTTTTTTTTTTGAAGTTTAGCAAGTGGTTTCTGTGGGTTTTTAAAAAAAAATTTTTATTAAATCTTTATTGTTCAGATTATTACAGTTGTTCCTCTTTTTTCCCCCCATAACTCCCCTCCACCCAGTTCCCACCCCACCCTCTGCCCTTACCGCCCCCCCCCCCACTGTCCTCATTCATAGGTGCACGATTTTTGTCCAGTCTCTTCCCGCACCCCCACACCCCCCCCCCCCGAGAATAGTCAGTCCACTCCCTTTCTATGCCCCTGATTCTTAGATTCACTTGTTGATAGATGCATATTTGTTGTTCATAATTTTTATCTTTACCTTTTTCTTCTTCTTCCTCTTCTTAAAGAATACCTTTCAGCATTTCATATAATACTGGTTTGGTGGTGATGAACTCCTTTAGCTTTTTCTTATCTGTGAAGCTCTTTATCTGACCTTCAATTCTGAATGATAGCTTTGCTGGGTAAAGTAATCTTGGTTGTAGGTTCTTGCTATTCATCACTTTGAATATTTCTTGCCACTCCCTTCTGGCCTGCAAAGTTTCTGTTGAGAAATCAGCTGACAGTTGTATGGGTATTCCCTTGTAGGTAACTGAGTTTCTTTCTCTTGCTGCTTTTAAGATTCTCTCTTTGTCTTTTGCTCTTGGCATTTTAATTATGATGTGTCTTGGTGTGGTCCTCTTTGGATTCCTTTTGTTTGGGGTTCTCTGTGCTTCCTGGACTTGTAAGTCTATTTCTTTCACCAGGTAGGGGAAGTTTTCTGTCATTATTTCTTCAAATAGGTTTTCAATATCTTGCTCTTGCTCTTCTTCTGGCACCCCTATAATTCAGATGTTGGTATGCTTGAAGTTGTCCCGGAGGCTCCTTACACTATCTTCATATTTTTGGATTCTTTTTTCATTTTGTTTTTCCGGTTGGGTGTTTTTTGCTTCTTCGTATTTCAAATCTTTGACTTGATTCTTGCGCTCCTCTGGTCTGCTGTTGGAACTCTGTATGATATTCTTTATTTCAGTCAGTGTATGCTTAATTTCTAGTTGGTCCTTTTTCATAACCTCGAGGGTCTCACTAGATTTCTTGAGGGTCTTACTAAATTTTCCATAACCTCGAGGGTCTCACTAGATTTCTTGAGGGTCTCACTAAATTTATTGGCAGTTTCTAGAAAATTCTTGAAAAACCTTATAACCGTGGTTTTGAACTCTATATTCAGTAGTTTGCTTTCCTCCATTTCTGTCATTTGTGACCTGTTTCTTTGTCTCCTCATTTTTTATGCTTCCCTGTGTTGATAGAGTGGCTTTTTGTGCTAGGTGTCCTATAGGGCCCAGTGGCTCAGCCTCCCCAATTACCTGAGGTCGACACTCTTGGTGCACCCCTTTGTGGGCTTTGTGCACAGTCTTGTTGTAGTTAAGCCTTGATTGTTGTAGGTATCACTGGGAGGAATTGACCTCCAGGCCAATTGGCTGTGAGAATCAGCTGTGTGTGCAGTGGGAGAACTTCTGTGCTGGAGACACCCTTCTGGGGCAAGACTTGCTTCAGTGGGGCTTTGGTGCTCACTGAGTCTGCCCCCTGAGTGTGTCCCTTATGGATCTGAGGAGTTGTAATCTGGATGGTTCACTCTGACCATTGGGTATACTGGCTCTTGGATCTCTAAGGAGGTGCTAATTTAGCCTCTTCCTGAGGCTACCCAGCAGGAGCTATGGAGAGATCTGCAGATTCCTCTTCTTTGTTTGGGGTTTGGAGGTGCCCAGATGAGGCCCAGCTGGGAAGCAATGCAAGGCTGCTGTTGGGCCTTGGGCCTTCTTTTGGATGTTCTGGGTCTCTCTGACCCAGCTTCAGTTTGTTAGGTAATTTTCAGATTGCAAAGGACCAGGCCATTCATATGCAAAAGCCTCTGCACACAGCTTGGGTGGGGCAGGGTCTCAGGGAATCAACAAGGCAGAGCAAACAGTTATGGCTGATCCTCAGCCCTGCCCTAAGAGGCCCCGGGTCTCAGTGTCCCGAGGTAATCTCGGTAATCGCTGCAAGCACCTCTGAGAGAAAGCAGCCCTCGAGTTCCGACCGATGCCAGACAGTCCAGTTTCTCCCCGTATGAGTCTGGGTCCCCAGAGACTTGCCCGGAACTGGAGTTCAGAGCTGTCGGGAGCTTGTGTCTCCCTCCCGATTGAAAAAGACAACCGCGTCCTCAGTTGCCAGCCCTTTCCACGTTAGCCTCCGTACCTCTGCACTTTACTTCCACACCTCCTCTGAGTCTCAGTGTGCTTTTCTCTTTCCTTCTAGTTGTAGAATTTCCACTCAGCCAGCCTTCCTGTGGTTCCGGGTGATGTCCGTTTTGTCTTTTAGTTGTATTTTTGAAGTGGTTGTGTGAGGCAGCAATTTCCGGTGTTTACCTATGTCGCCATCTTGGTTTTTTTCTGTTTTTATTATTCTTTAAAAATTGTATGTATAGTTCACATTTTTAAAAAATTATTTTTATTGATTGCAGAGAGGAAGAGGGGGAAAGAGAGAGATAAAAACATCAATGATGAGAGAGAATCATTGATCAGCTGCCTCCTGTACACCCCCTTCTGGGGATCCAGCCCAAATTCTGGGCATGTGCACTGACCGGGAATAAAACAGTGACCTCTTGGTTCATGGGTGGATGTTCAACCACTGACCCAGACAGTTCATATTTCTTTCAATGTTTAATATTAGAAGTGCTTTTGGTCTTGGAAGTTTTGTGATATTTTTGTGACCACAAATATGATATAGACACAACTCTTGTATATATCGCTTAACCTATGGTAAAGATTACTTTCCTATGCATCATTTTGCTTAAAGTCACAGTTTTGAAGAACCTATTGACAATGAAGACTGACTGCATAGTAAGAAGTTGGAAGTGTTCCCTCTTTCTTTATATATGTGTATACATAGTTAAATACAGAGGAAGTTTAAAGAAACAGGCTACAATCTAAATAGAAACAATATACCCAATTTTGCACAAGAAATATGTAACTATTTCTAAGAGAGAGCTGATCAAATGTTCACAGTGTTATTTCTCTGTGAAAGGATTTTTGAATAGTTTTCTTTTCATCTATCTAGTTGTTTATTTCTCAAATTTTCTATAATAAATCTGTATTATGTTAAAAATCAGGAAATAGAGACTGCTTTGTAGCAACTTGTGAGCTTTGAGCATCACCTTCAGCTTGAAATCTTTGCAGACGGGTTCTAGGAGGAACTTCAGGCTGTGACTAGACTTGCAATGGATTCACCAACAAAGCTTAATGCCCCCTCCACTGGGTCATTTTCTCAGATGTCCAAGGAAGCTATTCAGCTGACACTCAAGCTGTCTCAGAAGCACTAGCAGAAAACCTTAGTAAGTTGACTCTCAACCATAGTATCCAATTCTCTTCCCTTCCACAAAAACATTCACCCCAACAGCAGGACAGAGAAGAAGAAATGCCCGAGTATGTAGTGGGGGTGAGTTATGGCCTGGTCTACAGCAGGAGACGTGGAGTGAGGACAATGGCAAGTCTTTTTTTTTTAATATATATTTTATTGATTTTTCACAGAGAGGAAGGGAGAGAGATAGAGAGAGTTAGAAACATCGATGCGAGAGAAACATCGATCAGCCGCCTCCTGCACATCCCCCACCGGGGATGTGCCCGCAACCCAGGTACATGCCCCTGACCAGAATCGAACCCGGGACCTCTCAGTCCGCAGGCTGACGCTCTATCCACTGAGCCAAACCGGTTTCAGCAATGGCAAGTCTTAAAAGAGACCTCAAAGGACTGTTTCCAACATGGCTGAGGAGGAATGAGGCTATTCAAAACCGCAAGAAGAATAGGTTCGTGGTGGCATCCTGTCCAGGGTCTTCTTAACGCCAGGTGGTCATTTCTGCTTAATGATTTCTGCAAGACATCTTTTTTCTTTTTTTTTTTTTACTTTTCTTTTTGAGGCCTAATACATTGACGTTTAATTACAGTTTTCCAGACATTTGAAGAAATCCTCCCTTTATTTCCTCCTAGAGTAATTTCTAGGCCACACTTACGAACTTTCCTTTTTAAAATACCTTTTTCTTTCTTTTTCTGCAAGACATCTTGATGCTTTCACAAGCCATCTATCCAGGAACCTACTTCATCACCTGCCTTTTCCTCTGTCAAGTTCCCATCCTCTTCTGCATCCTGATGCTTATCCAGTTTAGCAATCAATTCTTTCGCTGGATTGAAGACGCCATTGGTCTGCTGGTCACAGACGTAGCAGCGGGGGTCGTGCGGAAATGCTGCAGAGCACAGCTCTCACAGAAATAATGCCTGCACTTGGTGACGACTGGGTTTTGGAAGGACTGGCGACAGATGAAACACTTGAATGGCATTTCCTCACTGTCGCTTCCCACTTCATAATTTTCATCTTCATAGACACCATAGCGACCCTCATCAAGCTCACGTTCCATCTGCCACCCATGCCTGTAATCTGATCGGTCATGGAGGAATTTGCAGCTGTCTCCGAAGCCGCAAAAGCCAGTCTCCTTATAGTCCTTACAAATGTCGGGCTGGTAATCCCAGCGCACGGTGGCACGTAGATGCTCCGGAGCTCGGATGGGGCCCTTCTGCACCATTCCGGAGGAAGCATTGCCCACAGGTGTATCCTTGGGTTTCATGTATTTCTGATAGTTATGGATTCCCCGATAGATCTTGTCATCTTCCTTGCCTCTCAGCTCCTCCTGGATCTTCTGGCTGCGCTCAAAGATGGCTTGTGCGTCACGCTCCTTTTCTGTGTCTAGCTCGTAGACAGCAGTCGCCCCCATATCCTCTGGCCCCACGGGTTTCGCCGAGCGGGTGGACTTGTAGACCACACGGAGACTCTCAGCCTCCTTCCCCTTCCCATCCCCCTCCTCCTTGCTACTCAATTCACAGTAAACCACCTTCTGTTTACCACTGCCACGGGTCTTCTGGATCATCGGATTGTGGGTCGCCCGCTTCTTTTCGCGGCGAACCACAGTGCTGCCTTCCTCGCTGCTGCTGCTGCCATCTCCGGGCTCTGGGTCGCAGATCGGGCGCTTCCTGCGGCCTACAGGCCCCTTTCGCCCAGGCTTTTTGAACAGGAAGGTGCACGCCTGATCCGTCGCCTTTCCAGGGGAAAGTTGCTCTGCCATTTGTGCGGTCCCGTGCTCCGAAACAGAGGCTTCGCGTTACTGCACGCTCCGCCGAGAAGCCCGAGCCAAGTGCGCCGTGGGAAACTGGGGCACTCGGCTGCGCGAGTGCGCCGCTCTCTATTTCAATTTTTAGTAGCAAATGTGTGCATAGGGCATCTTTATATAAACTTGAGGCGTATCTGAGACATGTGTATTCTTGTTCTTTGAATTTGTTGGGGTCCAACCCCAGCAGGTCCAGGGGTCCCCAAAGGTGTGGACGGAGTTGGCGAAGAAGGAATGACACGGAGACAGTGTTCAGTTGATCAGCAGCCTAGCCAGGATCTCTAGCCAGGAACTCCAGCCAAGTTCTGGTGGTTATTGTCTTGTTACATCTGTATTTATACCAGTTGATTTTAATCCTGTCAATTTCTATTCCAAAGGTTAGGGCTTTTCTTATCTCCATTCCAGGGAGTAAAGATTATGTAGCTTAAGGGTGATTATTCATAGTTAAAGTGATTAACTACCCACCAGGCATTTAGTTAAGGGGTTTTATTCCCTCCCTAACTTCAGGGAAAAATCCCTACCTGGGGAAACAACCTCGGAGAGGTGACCTTAGTTAAAACACATAGCGCCAAGAAGGGAAGCAAACATATTAAGAACAGTATGCCTTATACGCCAGGTCCCTTGAAGCATACGCTGTGCAGATGTTTCTTTCCTGCAGCGAATGTGTCAAGCAGCAAGGATGGACCGGCTTCCGGCATGAATTTATTGGGGTGACATTGTTTATGAAATTATAGTTTTATGGTGTACAGTTGTATAATACACCACTGGTATATTATATTGTGTATTTGATAAGAAGCTATGAGAATTCCAGGACAAGTGGAATAGGGAATCTTAGACCTATAGTTGGGGAGCCACCTAGTAAGTCCCATGTTCCCTAAAGCAAGGACACTTAAGGGTAAATCGTTTACACTTCTCTCCCCTAACCAGAGGGTAAATACCTTAAGTCACCCTAGTCAGGGAGGCAGATAATAGAAATCCAGTTAAGGGAATAAATCTCATTTTGGTGCATCAGCATAAAGCTAGTGAATATTCTTTTTCTACCCATAAGCTCTCCACAAAACACCCACACTTTTAAACCTCTAAAGCTCCCAGAGACCATGCCCATGCCATTCTCTTCCCCCTCTATTCACCGCACTCCTAGGGACATATCCCCTAATCTCTAGGGTACCTCAGGAGACTTGCAACTAGGGGAGCAATGGGCAGCAGCACCTCATCCTGAGCCAAACCCCTAGACTTGTCTCTGAGGTTCCTCATTTCTGCCATTTCTCTGACTTCCGAAAGCCAAAGCAGCCCAGCCTAAGCTCTCCTGCTGGTTCTTTATGCCATTCCTTGTGTCACTGCCCTGAATAGGTTTTGTGGTGAGGTCAATAAAAATTTTTTTAAGATCCTTAAAAAAAATCAGGAAATAAACATTATTATTATTTTTAAAATATATTTTATTGATTTTTACAGAGAGGAAGGGAGAGAGATAGATAGTTAGAAACATCGACGGGAGAGAAACATCGATCAGCTGCCTCCTGCACATCTCCCACTGGGGATGTGCCCGCAAGCCAGGTACATGCCCTTGACCGGAATCGAACCTGGGACCTTTCAGTCCGCAGGCCGACGCTCTATCCACTGAGCCAAACCGGTTTCGACTAACATTATTATTTTTTAATATATATATTTTATTTGATTTCAGAGAGGAAGGGAGAGGGAGAGAGAAAAACAGGATCATCAATGATGAGAGAAAATCATTGAGTGGCTGCCTCCTGCACACCCCACATTGGGGATAGAGCCCGAAACCCGGGCAGGTGCTCAGACCCCAAATGAAACCATGACCTCCTGGTTCCTAGGTCGATGCTCAACCCAGAGCCATGGCGGTTGGGCTGGAAATAAACATGACAATAAATAAAACTACACAGGTCCTATAGTTTATTGAACCTTCCTTTATTGTTAGACATGTGGGGCAAGAGATATGTGTGATCATACAGCAGTTTCCAAATTCATAGTCCTGTCCTCAAAATGCTGGCCGCCAGGTTGGGTCGATGCTCAACCCAGAGCCATGGCGGTTGGGCGGGAAACATAGAGGACCTCTCATCTTACCAGGCATGGAAAGGAGACGCAGTCCCACACAACCCCAGTCCTGGCAGACAAGTGCCGGGATCCACATGGAATCAGAGTTGTGATCCACCCTGGGGGTTGGGGGGAGGGAGGAGAAAGGGACAAGAACAGGGAGAGGGAGATGTGGGTGACCCCTCCCACAAGGTCACAGCGCCTGATCCCTGTCTTGCTCCTGACTTGGGCTGTGCCCTTTTGACGTGTCAGAGCCTTGGCTTCCTCCCCTTGGCCCAGAGACAGGCGTGGTTGTCGGGTGACTCTGGGGCACTCAGCGGAGGATGGGGCTCACTGTCTGGACTCAGAGCTCCCTCCTGTTGATTCGGTCCCGAGGGAGCTCCGGGATTCTAGGAGCCAGTCAAGAGAAGATGGGATTAGGTAAGGTGAGACAAGTGTGTGCACCTGACTCCCGGTGCCGGTGCCCCTGAGGTCATTAGGATTCATTGGCTGAGCGAGTGAATCTGTCTGGAGGCGGGGCTTTCTGCCTATATAAGGGCTGAGGGCGCCCAGCCCAAGCCATTAGACACCAGAGCCCTGGAGAGCAGGACCATGTGGGCACCCCGGAGAAGTGAAGCAGCGCGAGCTCCAACCCTCCTGAGGGCCTCGGCACCGTGCCGGTTTCCTCCCGGCCATCTGCAAGCTCAGGAGGCCGAGCTGGATGCCTCCTGCCCTGCCCCAATCCTGGTGGCCCTGCCTCGCTGCCCGGGACCCTGCCATCAGCCTGTTGGCCCCGGCGGCCTGCTCCCGGTGCCCCCCACAGCCAGCTGGGCCCCCAAATACCTCCTCACCCAGCCAGCGTCTGTGAGGAGAGGCCGGGCCCCCCGCACCGGGCTACCCACCACCCAGGAGCTGTGTGACCTGCTGCGGGGAGCACACAAGGTTCCCATGAAGTCAGCCAGCCTGCCCCAGGCTGCCCAGCAGCCGGCCCCGAAGCCCCGCTCCATCCACCTCTCAGCCGCCAGAGACAAGAGGAGGATTGCCCGCGTCCCCGTGCCCTGCCTGGGTGAAGGTGCCAAGAGGCGCCTCCTGGCCAGCAGCAGCAGGACCAGCAGCAGCCGCCCACCTTCCAAAAACCAGGGGCTGGGCAGCCAGCTACCAGAGGCACCTGCCCCATCGGGCCAGGCGTCCATGGCCACCGGCCCGGTGCCCCCAAAGCGCGTGGCCCGTGGCCCACCCATGCAGACATCTCAGAAGCTTGTTCCTCCAACAGAGTGTGGGGGCAAAGTGCCCGCCATCACCCCTCAACGCCGTCTCAGCCTCTTTAGGGATGAGGGTCTCAAGTTCTGCTCCTCCACCCAGGAAGCCACAGGGAAGGAACTGAAGGAGGAGAAGGCGGCCGACCACCAGAGGCCCAGCAAGAGGATGGAACCGCAAGTGGCCGCCAGCACCTTCCACAAGATGCAGGGCCTGGAACCCGGCCCTGGAGCTGTTCTCCACAAGACCCGGGACAGAGGGGCTATGTCCCAGGAGGAGGTGCCGGGGGGCAAGTTGGCCGCCCAGACCAGCTTCCCGCTCCAGCGCCCGGACAGCCCCCACGGGGAGGATCCTGTGCCAGGGGCCACCCTGTACCAGCGCCTCAAGGAGCACCTGCTCAGCCAGGCCCAGCTCAAGGAGAACGGCTACCCCTTTGCCCACCCCACACTGCCGGGGGGCGCTGTCCTCTTCACCGCCCAGGAGAAGCCGCCCCAAGACGCCTCCTGCAGGCTGTGCTGCCGCTGTGGCACCCAGTACCTCGTGGCCCCCTCGGGCCGCTGTGTGCGCCAGGAAGAATGTCACTACCACTGGGGGCGGCTGCGCCCCACTCCAGCGGCTGGGGGCTGGCAGATTCAGTACACGTGCTGCTCGGCCCCCATCGGCTCCCCTGGCTGCCAGGTGGCCCGGCAGCACGTGCAGGACGGCCGCCAGCAGGACCTGCAGGGCTTCGTGCACACCTCGCACAAAGAGCTGCCCCCAGGGGCTCACCCCGGCATCTACGCCCTGGACTGTGAGATGTGCTACACCACCTCTGGCCTGGAGCTGACCCGCGTCAGCGTGGTGGACAGCGCCCTGCGGCTGGTGTACGACACCTTCGTCAGGCCGGACCGCGACATCGTCGACTACAACACCAGGTTTTCCGGAGTCACCGCGGCTCACCTGGCCCACACCAGCACCTCCATCCGCGACGTCCAGGCCGCCTTGCTGACGCTCTTCAATGCCCACACCATCCTCATCGGACACAGCCTGCAGAGCGACCTGCTGGCCTTGAAGCTCATCCACGGCACCGTGCTGGACACATCTGTGCTCTTCCCGCACCGCCGCGGCCTCCCCTACAAGCGCTCCCTTCGCAACCTCGCCGCTCACTACCTCGGACACTCCATCCAGGACCGCATGGATGGCCACAGCTCCAGCGAGGACGCCAGCGCCTGCATGCGCCTGGTCCTCTGGAAGATGGGACAACACGCCGAGACTCAGCGCTGACCGCAGCCCAGCATGTTGTGGACAGGACTAGGACTTTGGAAAGTGCTTTGTGATCACATAGATCTCTTGCCCCACATGTCTAACAATAAAGGAATGGTTCAGGAAACTATACTACATCTCTTGTGTGATTTGTCATCGTGTTATTTCCTGTACGACCGCCATGGCTCTGGGTTTCATTCGGATCCAGTAACCTGCCTCGGTTGCCGGCTCTACCCCCAAGGTGGGGCATGCACGAGGCAGCCGATCAATGATTCTCTCATCATTGATGTTTCTCTCTCTCCCTCTCTCTCTCTCTCTCTCTCTCTCTCTCTCTCTCTCTCTCTCCCTTCCTCTCTAAGATGTAATTTTAATATATATATTTTAAAATCATAACAATGATAAAATCTAATCTGCAGATCCTGTTA